GTAAATCTCCAAGAGACCGAAGAAACAATTCTGAATGAAAGTGGATTCTCCCTTAGGGGCTTCTTTCAGCACCAAGCCAAATTACTTTTTTAATGGGGGGTGTTAGCCCTCCAGGGAAGCCATAAATATGTCCATAGTGAGTGGCAGTGGGTTAAATATTCCCAACTGCCATGTTACAGGAATCCAGTAAAGAAAACAGTAGACAGTTCTCCCTAGTAAAAATAGTAGTAGGTGTTTTCTAGCAATCTAAGTGATACTGCACAATTTATTCTTTAATATCTAGTTTATGAAAATTTAGTGTCTTGGTGGTTGAAACTACTGTTCTTTGAGTCATGGCTGGTGTAGACACTTTAAGTGCCTCTTGATAATTTCATATGGAATAAGGGAATGGTTTGAGTTGGAAAGAATCTTAAAGATCACTTGTTGCAACCCCTTTGCAGAGGTCAGGTACATGTTTCATTAGACCAGATTATAAATGTTATCCAGCACTTTCAGGGATTGGGTATCCACAACTTCCTTGGGCAACCTGATGCAGTGCCTCACTGCCCTCTGAGTAACACTGCCCTCTTCTTGACATCTAATCTAAATTTCTCCTTGTTAATTTAAAACTGTTCTTCCTTGTCCTATGGCTGTCCATGTAAAAACTTGCTCTCCCTCTTCTGAATAAGACCCCTTTAGGTACTGAAAACCTGCTATTCAGTAGCTGTCGGCTCTCCAAGCTTAACAACCCCAGCTTTCTCAGCCTGTCCTCAGAGGAGAAACCTTTCATCATCTTCATAATCAAAGGCACTACTCTGGACTCACTGCAGCAGGTCCCTGTCCCTGCTGTGCTGGGAGTCCAGCTCTGGATGCAGTGCTCCAGGTGGGTCTCAGCAGAGCAGAGCAGAGGGGCAGAATCCCCTCCCTGCCCTGCTGCCCACAGGGCTCTGGATGCAGCCCAGGACATGTTTGGCTCTCTGGGCTGGCAGTGCCATGGCCGGGGCATGTGCAGCCTCTCACCCACAGCACCCCCAAGCCCTCCTGGGCAGGGCTGCTCTGGGGCTGTTCATGCCCAGCCTGTGCTGGTACCAGGGGTTGTTCCTATCCCGGCGCAGCACCAGCACTTTGCCTTGTTAAACCTCATCAGATTCCCATGAATTACTTCTCAAGCTTGTCCAGGTCCCTCTGGATGGCATCCCATGCTTCAGGTCTCCTGCTCTGTTCTGTAGTGGACCAGCTTTCTCTGTGCTTTTTTTTGTTATTGATATATCAGCAGAACCTGTCGCCTTTCCTATCCCTTGCGCGTTTCCCTTCCCAGCTGTGCCCTTCCTAACTCCCTCTGTGCCTTTGTCCTCTGTTTCTCCCTGGCAACCTGTCCTTGCTGAAACCTTCTGTAGTGTTTTTTTTAAATTTCGTGCCACTCAGAAGTTACTCCTTCAGCCAAACTTGCCTCCTGCCTTACCTCCTTGTTTCTTCACACTCTATTCATATGCTTTAGAGAAGTTGCTTTTTAAGTTCAGCCCTTTCTGCTGAGTCTCTTGGCATTTGAGGTAATTGAGTTCTTCCAGGCTACCACTTACCAATTCCCTGAACAAGCCAAGACAGTTGCTCTGAAATCCAGGATCTTTATTCTGCTTTTTGCCTTCATTACTTTCCTGAATGTTTCAAATTCTTATTTCTCCTCATAGTCACTCAGTCTAAGGCTGTCATCAGCCTTTATGTCCCTATCAATTTCTTCCTTAATTCATACAACATCCAGCAGTGCAACTTCATTACTTAAAGGAGTACCTGCAGAAAAAATAAGTCTCTGATGCTCTGAATTTCCTGCACTCTGCTGTTCTGCTCTGCCAGCAAATGTCTCAAAATTCCCCCATGAAAACATGTCATTGTGAAGTCTCTTCCAGTTGTTTAAAGGCTACATCCATTTTCTCTTCTTGACTGGGCAGTCTATAGTATGTGCACACCATGTTAACCCCTTGTTTGCTACCCCCATCATGCTACTCCATGAGCCTTCATTCTTGACTTCTTGGATATGGTGGGTTGTTGAAATAGTGGGATAACAGTGTGCAATATTTTAAGAAAATTTTAGACACTAAGTAAACTGGTGGGAAAATATGTTTGCACACAAGAGTAATATCATCTTTTGCTCCCTGAATAACCCTTCTTTGCTTCTCCAGGTCTCAGACTGTGAAGTCTCTGTGGTACAGACCTACCATAAGATAGATGATGTGCAAGCACTGCCACCTTCCAAAGATTGCAGGCATCATTGCACTTGTGTTCCTAAATGTGACTTGCATCCTCTCTTCATGGAGGCTGAAGTTTGGTGATACAGAGAACCTGCAAGAACACTTTCCAGTGAAAATGTACGAGGGGAATGTCCCTATGCACAAAAGAAAGATTTGGAAGGAAACATGGTTGCCAAAAGCAACATGTACAGGATTCCCTCATTTCCAAGAATATAGTGATTTTGGACATGACAGTGGAAAAGATCATATCCTAATTTGCTCTGCTAAGTGTAAGGATTTTGAATTTCTGTGAGTTACACAAGTAAGCTGTCTGAGACAACAGCAAAGGATTAAGGCAAAAGGAAATGTAGAAGAGTGCATGATGAAAATTAATATTAAATTGACCTGTTCAAACTAGTTATACATATGGAAAGACAAAATATTTACTATATTTTTTGTTCAGGAGGAATGTTTACATACTTTTGAACAGCTGACCTGTGCTTCATTTTTCATCAACCAAGTTAAGCCTTATTTCCTTTTTTGTATTATGCTGTAGGGCTTCCTTGTTTGGGTTACAAAACATGAAAATTCTCAGAGCACTGTTCAGTTTTCTCATTACCGTCCACAGAGGAATATCTATTTTTAGTCTCAAATATGTGCATAAAGACTTTAATGAGGAAAAAATATTTTCTGCCCTATCCTACTTGCAGTGTCCACGTATTTCTGTTCTGTAGTGTTCACACACACACACACACACACACACACATACACACACACACACACACACAAACTTCTCTGTGTTTTTCATTACCAGTAGCTAAAAACTAGCTGTTGACAGGTTGTTCACCTTAGTTTTCTGCTGTGAGAATTGTGCTGCCTTTCTTGACGAAAGTAGTTTTAAAAAGCATTTTGAACCAATATGTGCCTACTGGCAGTGCTGGGGTCAAGTTTAGCTACTACCTTTTCTGCAACTTCAGGTTTCCCATGTCTGCAGATCAGAAGATAAAAGACAAATGGTTTAATTAGTCTTAATACCATTTTGAGCCTAATGCTGTAATCAGTTGATCAGGTTTACACAGGTACTTCATCTGGCATAAAACCCTACAAAAATAAAATGGGCTTCAATGGACAAAGCTGGGGTTTGCAAAATCCATCCCTTCCTAATATCAGTAGCTGTGTCTTGTTTTAAACAAGACTGGATTTACTTTGATTTCTAGATTAGTGTAGGTTACACTGAGCAGAAAATTTAATGCATCTCATTGATTTTCCCTGTAATACTGTTGATACACAGGTCACTGCTCTAATAATTTGTTTTACCATTAGAATTCTGTATGCAGATCTAGTCCCCAAGGATATCAGTGTGTAACCAGATACTGTGTGATCTAATCAGGTACTGCAAGAAATATATTATCTCTTCAACACCTAGCAGTAGAAAGCTTCATCAAAATAGAAAATTTATTTAATATTTAAAGCAAAATGCAGTTCAATGAGACAACCATGAGAAGCAGATGTGTACAAAATTTAAAGACATTTCTCAGATTAAACAAAGCCAAATCCAAGCCAGAGTCTAGGATGACTTGTCATAACTACATTTGTTATTAAATAAGAAAATGTTATAGTTGCTTCTTCAGTTTATAGGGTTTATTGCAGTGCAAGTAAAGTAGCATCACTCTCAGAAATTACTAACTAGCAGAATTTAATTAATGTGATAGTTACTTGCTACAGCATGTATGCTTTGGAAAGCAATTTTGAAAAGCACCTGCAAAAGCATGGGTGACAGACAAGACCAGTGCTCTGAACTCATTTTGATGTAGGATTTGGATCTCTGAGCGCCTAGTACTGCAATTCATTTCCAGAATACAAGTCCTGCTGACTTTGAAGGAGTTTTGCAAGCAGTGTGTCTCAGGCTGAACAGCAGACCTGCTTGCTGCTGCGAGTCTGACCAGAAACATCTACAGGTGGAATAGCAGGAGTGTGGCTCTGCCAGCAGCTGGACAGTGTTTCTGTGTAAACTGCCAGGTGCAAACACCAGGTGTTCAGCAGGGTAATGGTTGACAAAGGTGATAAGCATCTCCTAGGGTCAGCTCATCTCTCCATATAACTGCTTTCTTGTCGATGTCTGAATGCTGAGCACTGTTAATTGTGGCTTTTGTCTGAGTTTCTGAATTTTATCAGTGGAATGCAATGCTATTCTTGGCTCTACCTCTTGTACTTATTTAGCAAAGGAAAGTAGAGAATTTTAGAAGTAAATTTAAGAATGAAAACCATTCAGTAACCTTGTGTATGATCAGATGAGACTTGATTTAAGACAGAACATAAGATATTTATGTTCCTTGACATTTTTCCAACTCCTATTTTATATGGCTATAAAGGTGTGTGTGGAAGGATATTGGTTTGTTTTAGTTTTTTCCTTTGGTTCTACAGACTAGACAGTGCACAATTCAGTGTTCAGGGCCAAACTCTCCTCCTTGGCTCAAGGGATTTATTGTGTGACTAGCTTTGCTACCAGAATTGCTTTGATCTTCAGAGACCACTGGTTTCATTGAGCCTAAAGGCATAAGTAAGAGCTGGAAGAGAGTGGCTGAGCATCCAGACAAGCAGTGAAACAGACTTTCTTTCAAGTTCCTACAATGTGTTTTTGGGGCAAATGCTGCCAGACAAATGTACTGTTGTTGAGGGAAAGGGCAGGGGAGGTGGTTGGTGGGTATTGGTATAGGTCAGAAAATTATTTTCATTGAGAAAAACCAACTAAAGGCTTTTAATATATTTTTTATGTTTTTCTCTCTTGTGTTTTAGGGTCTCATGACTCTTTTAGCTTCTACATTGATGAAGCCTCTCCAGTTGGGCCTGAACAGCCAGAGACGGTCCAGAATTTTGTGTCAGTTTTTGGGACTGTGGCTAAAAAGCTGATGAGGAAGTGGCTGGCTACACAGACCATGAACTTCACCAGCCAGCTGGGGGCAGGGATACGGTATTTTGATCTCAGAATTTCCACCAAGCCCAGAGACCCAGACAATGAACTCTACTTCGCTCATGGTTTATTCAGTGCCAAAGTCAAGGAAGGTCTGGAGGAGATCAACGCGTTTCTCACTGAGCACCCAAAAGAAGTGGTCTTCTTGGACTTCAATCATTTCTACGGGATGCAGAAATGCCATCATGAAAAGCTTGTCCAGATGCTCAAAGACACATACGGAAACAAAATGTGTCCTGCTATATTTGCCCATGAAGTCAGCCTCCAGTACCTGTGGGAAAAGGAGCACCAAGTGCTAGTGTTCTACCACAGCCCAGTGGCCGTCGAGGTAGCCTTTCTGTGGCCAGGCCAGATGATGCCAGCTCCCTGGGCAAACACAACAGATACGGAAAAGTTGATTCAGTTCCTGCAGGCATCAATCACTGAAAGAAGAAAGAAAGGCTCCTTTTTCATATCTCAAGTAGTGCTGACACCAAAGGCTAGTACGGTGGTGAAAGGAGTTGCAAGTGGTCTCAGAGAAACGATCACAGAAAGGTGAGTTTGTGGCTGGTAAGGTGTGCTGACAGTGCTGATGTGTGTTGGTAGTTTTTACAATTCCTTTTAAAGGCACTCTAGCAGATGCATTTCTTCCATGCTACTGTGGGCTACTCAGAACTTGGCATAATCTTAAAATATTTAAAGAGAAACACATTGAAGGACAAGCTTCTGCATCTTGAAAGAAAATCTGCCACTGAAGCATAATGAGGTATGAGGGGATTGGCTTAACCTTCTCTTTTTTTCTGCATGCAGGTTTTGCTAATTTGCTTTGTTTTCCAAATGTGATTTCTTACCATAAACACTGAATGTCATGTGTAGGATTTCCTTACTGGAAAATCTTATCTGTATGATCTAGACAAATCTATCTGTATGATCTAGATAATTTTTTGTGCATCAGGCTTCAGATATTAGATTTTAAAAAAAAATTGTCCTGGTTCATGAGCAAAGCCTGATGCTGCAGGATTTGCTGTCACATACCTCAAAAATGCATGGGTTCTCTGTCTCTATACCATCATGTATGGTATCAAAGACAGCAGGACACCATTAGAGAAAATTTGACTCCTTTAAGTCTTTCTTCATTTACCATACAGGAAAGAGATGGCAGACCATCGTAGAGCTTCTGTACATTGACTAGCTTGTTGACAGGCCATTAGTTTTTATATTACAAAAAAAACCACCTGTGCAAGACATGCATTATTTATACCATTCTGACTTTGATAAATCACAGCCAGTTTTGAGCTTAAAGGCATATATATGTGACAACTTGGTAGGAAAACTGAAATTTGATGCCAAGACACAAGAGCTATTTTCTTTTTCTCCTTAAAAATAAAGAAGGGTTGCAGAATGTAAAAAAAAATTCACAGAATCGCAGAATTTCTAGGTTGGAAGGGACCTTTAAGATCATCGAGTCCAACCCATGTTCTAACACCTCAACTAGGTCATGACACCAAGTGCCGCATCCAGTCTTTTTTTAACGCATTCAGGGATGGTGACTCCACCACCTCCCTGGGCAGATGATTCCAGTATTTGACCACTCTTTCTGTGAAAAACTTCCTCCTTAAGTCTAGCCTGTATCTCCCTTGGCACAGCTTGAGACTGTGTCCTTTTGTTCTATCTGTTGTTGCCCTGAGAAAGAGAACGACCCCCAGCTCACCACAGCCACCCTTCAGGAAGTTGAAGAGGGTGATAAGGTCACCTCTGAGTCTCCTTTTCTCCAGGCTAAACAATCCCAGCTCCCTCAGTCCTTCCTCATATGGCTTGTGTTCCAAGTCCCTCACCAGCCTCGTTGCTCTCCTTTGGACACGCTCAAGCATCTCAACGTCCCTCCTGAACTGAGGGGCCCAGAACTGGACACAGCACTCAAGGTGTGGCCTCACCAGTGCTGGGTACAGGGGAAGAATGACCTCCCTGCTCCTGCTGGCCACACTATTCCTGATACTGGCCAGGATGCCATTGGCCTTCTTGGCCACCTGGGCACACTGCTGGCTCATGTTCAGCCGACTGTCAACCAGCACCCCCAGGTCCCTTTCCACCTGAGCACTGTCCAGCCACGCCATCCCAGCCTATAACCTTGCAGGGAGTTATTGTGGCCAAAGTGCAGGACTCGGCACTTGGATTTATTGAACTTCATCCCATTAGATTCTGCCCATCCATCCAACTGTTCCAAGTCCCTCTGCAAAGCCCTCCATCCCAACAGTTCAACACATGCTCCGAGCTTAGTGTCATCTGCAAATGTACTAATGAAAAACTCTAAACCCTCATCCATATCATCAATAAAAATATTAAACAGAACTGGCCCCAGCACAGACCCCTGAGGGACACCACTGGTGCCTGGCTGCCAGCTGGATGCAGCACCATTCACCACCACCCTCTGGGCCCGGCCATCCAGCCAGTTCCTAACCCAGCACAGAGTGCTCCTGTCCAAGCCACGGGCTGCCAGCTTATCTAGGAGTATGCTGTGGGAGACAGTGTCAAAGGCCTTGCTTAAATCCAAACAAACAACACCTACAGCCTTCCCTGCACCCACTAGGTGGGTTACTTGGTCATAAGAGGTGACCAGGTTGGTTAAACATGACCTACCCCTCCTAAACCCATGCTGACTGGGTCTGATACCCTGGCCATCCTGTAAATTCTGCATGATGGCACTTAATGTAAACTGTTCCATTATTTTGCCAGGTACTGAGGTCAGGCTGACTGGTCTATAATTAGCAGGATCCTCCTTTGCACCCTTTTTGTGAATGGGTGTCACATTGGCCAGCTTCCGGTCATCCGGAACCTCACCAGTGAGCGGGGACTGTTGGTAAATTACAATGAGGGTCAGTGACCTGCTGATGTTTTGCTCTCTGCATGCTATGACAGGAAGGTCTGTTGGGAGCATATCCCCTTCTATTAATTGAAAGATGCAGTGTCTGCAAAGAAAGCATGCCTTATATTTGAGAAAGGTTGAGCTGTTTGTACGGCAGCTTTCCAAAGCAGCTCTTAACTTGAAAAAATAGGTAAAAAGCGGTGAAACACTGACATGGAAGGTTTTATGAGCAGTAGAATGTGATTTAGAAATGCTTGTGAGACTGCACTTGCACCTGTTGGTAAAACTTCGCCTGTGTTTTAGGGGCTCCATTGGACTGGGGGTCTCCCTCTCTCCTGAGTCTGAAGAGCACTTCTCTGTACTAAAACACTGCTTTGTTAATGGATTTTAACAATAAACACCTTGTTGTTAAGGAACTTCTTCCTCTGGTAAACGTCTTCCTGAGTGTTCTTTAGAACAAGAAGTAGGACAATCAGGAAACTAACAGGTTGTTCTTAAAGCTCGTTGTATCAATCAAATACCATTTCCTTCATCTTTGGCTTATAATATGCTTTTTAGAAGCTGTTTGTAAAGCAAAGACTTGAAATAGATGCTGAATATGTTTGACTGAATTTTGAATGTCCAGAGCTGTTGAACTCTTGGTATGCCTTCCCCAACAGCAAATCTTGAAATTGTAACTACCTTCAAAAGTCAATATATAATTGGGCTGAAAAACCTGGAAATGTTGTTTTGCCAGATTTCTGAGATTTTTCACATGATCCCCAAGTGTGTAGTCATGTTTCTACGTGAAAAGTTGTTTCCTTTTTTGCATAATTCTTTTAGCCATTATGAGAGAAATAGACCTTCAAAATAATCTCGAAGGCCAATATTTAGTCTTCCAAGTATAGCATTTTTAATTTTTATTTTTAATATAAAAATAGACTGAAACAGGCTTGGAATTTGTGATAATGTTGATAGAAACTGAGCCTGTATTTTGAGTTAACTGCTCTAAAAGTAAACATCAAATATATTCAGAAGTGCTCCTCATTTTATGATGATTCTGTTAAAAATAAATAGGCAAGCAATTAAAAGATGAAGTACAATTTGCACAGTAGAATTGTTGTCTTCAATCTCCCTGCCTTAATGTTTCAGTGGCTTAAAAATATGTAATCCACACCAAAGGTAACAAGACATACATTCCAGCTGTGCTGTGTTTGGCACCTCAAACCATCACTCAGTAAAAATGTTATTTTGTCCTTTTCAAAATAAATGCCCAGAACAAATATCATCTTTGTGTCCAGGTAGATAACATATGTGCTTTTGTTGCCAGTTGCTGCATAGACTTATACATTATACTGTTTTCTTCTTTTTAAGAAATGCTGGTGAAGAGTCTTACATTAAGAATGCAGTTATCTTGCTTTTGTAAGCAGTTTTGTAACCATACTTGGATGGGGTTCTTCCCTCTCATTGAATTTTAAAAGTTCTGAATGCAAATGAATAAGGTTGAATTTTTCAAATAATTCTGGTGTGGAGGTTTGTTGTTTCGTTTGGTTTGGGGTTTTTTTCTTAAATTAAGTATTACATTTAAGAAATGTTCCTTTTGCATTTTGAATAAAACATGTAGTAATTTCTTTTGTTTTGTTTCTCCACCTGCACAGTGGCCTTTTACATATTGATTTAGTTTTGAAAATAGGGCAAAGTTTAGATTCTCACAGACGCAAAGAAACTTGCCAGGTTTTGATCTCTGAAGTTGTTTTTTTATAATTAAATTGTTCATGATTTGAAGAGCAGTGGCTGCCTTAGAGGGAGAGCATGGTTTCTGTCAGTCACAGCATCCGTTGGCCTGGGAAATCTGTGAGCAGACTCCATACAGCAATCTCATCCGGACTGCATTCTGCTGTTTTGCAGCTTTCTTTGGGAAAGAGCACAGTGAAATATTCCTCTTAGCCAAGATGGTTGGTTTAATGGCTTTTCATCATGATTGCCTGTGGCGGTGGAGGTCCACACTGCAGTAGAGCAGCCTTCCAAGGCAATATATTTCAGGAGGAGAAGGGATGTTACTCCTTAAGCTGTTCCCTAGAGTGCAGATATGCAAGCTGTGAGGCCCAAAATAACCCCAATTAAAAAACCTCAAAAACCAACAAAACATTTTCATGCTCCTAAGACTCAATTCAGTGAAGATATACCAGGAGTTTTCTACTGATAATGTTTGCTCACAGGCTTTGCTGTCATAACTGGTAGTGTTCTGTGGTACGGTAATTAGAAAGAAGGAGAAATTTAAAGTTTTGAAGCTTTCTGTCCTGCACAAATACATGAGGGCAAAGCTATTTCTTGTAAGGTCTTCCTAGGACCACAGTTCAATGTAATGTGGTAACACAGATTTCACCTTCACTTCTTGAATGAGGAGAATTGCTTGCATGTGTGCACATTATGTTTCTTAGATTTGATGAAAAACTTTGAGGACTATCAATGTGTTTCCAGGCTTAACGTTCTGTCACACACCCAATTTAGATGCCAAGAAATTCTCTTTGATTAGCAAACAATATATGCCAAATGAATTACATTTGCTGTGCTCATTGAATTAACTTCGCAGTGAGGCAGCTGCCGTCAGTATATCTGAAAGGTGGTTGTGAGACACCCTTTTGATTAATGTAGAGCTGTTCCTAATAATCTAGTTTTCTTTCTGACTTGCAGTGAAATTACTAATTTTATC